TGTACTTACCCGGAAGTTGTCTTGAGAAGCATAAACCTATGAAATGACAGCAAATTCCCTAAGATATTTAGGCAATTACCTTAGTAATTCAACTAGCATAAACTACTAAACTGTATTTCTGAACAAAACTGATTTTTTGTCCTCTGCTTTACGACAAAACAATAATGTAGTTACTCTTTTATGATATTCACAACTGTAATCATAAACTAAAATCTTGAATAGGTATGGGATTCTATAAAAGGTCTGTTTTTGTGACAACAGGGGCTTAGAGCTCTGTATTTTCTCCCACTGGACAAATGGCTTGCAGTCACATCACTGTGTGCAACTTGAAAGTAATTAGTCCACGTCTGCAGTCTTTTATGTACGCTCCAAAGTACATTGACTGTATCACATGCTTCCAAATGCTGTCCCAATTAACTTTTTTACCTCTTCTTTTAAGAAATTTGGTCACTGGTGTTTAAAGGCCAAAATTTAAAATATGCACGCAAGATTTAGCTAGCCAAGCTTATTTTAACAAAATTTTAGTTCCATGAAAAGTAGCAAAGGACACAAATTTAATTGCCATCACTGTCTAAAAATTAGGTTGATTTCACACAAATCTCTCAAACTTACTGTCTTCCCTGTGTGCTGACACCTATGGAGAGCTGAGTAGTGATGTCCACCTTACTCAGGGTGGGAGCTCTCCTGTCCCTACCTTTCTCTCTAGTCTCCATGGGCCTGAGATCAAGTCAGTGGCTATTTATTAAAGTACTCTGTGCTGCTCTGCTTTTCTTAGAGAGGAGTTGAAAAAAAACATCAAATTGGGAAAACAGCACAGACGAGATAAATGTGAGAAAGTAAATGAAAGTAAATATTTCCATGTTTAATATGCAAACAAAATATGTCTAAAAAGATAATTATTCCACTATAAACAAACTCATGGCTTGCTTCACCAGTCTGTATATGCTTGGTTCCTATATACATTTTACATTGTTGACCTCTAGATTCTCCATGATCTAGAAAAAAACCTACCTTACTGAATTTCACTATTAGCACCTCAAGTTTCAGAGACAAAAAGTGTAACACATATACAAACTGATTATTTTAACATTTTATCTAATACTGGAAAGAGGGTTTGCTGGAAAAGAATCATCTAGATTAAATGAGGTAGTTTTCTCTGTGTTCACTATAGCTAGCAGTGTTTATATCTGAGTAAATGATGAAGGCCTTTTGAACAGAAGCAAGGTGGCTTTTCCAGAAATGGAGTCTTCCATGGCTGTGAGGTCCTAGATTTATAGCTTCAGAACTGACTACATATACTTGAGACCCAAGCTAAAGTTCAGTCCTTATGACCAAATATCAAAGACAGGATAATGCTATAAGTCCTATGTGAACCCCAAGATTATTGGATTGTTTTAAGGAAGGCCCTTCTTATAAGTAAGGGTTTATGTTTTTAATAGCTCACAAAAATAAAAGACACTTTTAGATCAAAAACTATTTAGAATGAGTCCCACTGGGCCATCAGTCAAGTTAGTAAAGATTAAACAATCAGTAAAATCTGGAACTATACTGCAAAGACCAAATCTTGGTAGTTAAATTCAGGATGAAAGCAGTACAGCTTTTAAAATAAGTGGCTGTGGGGCGCCTGGGTGGCGCAGTCGGTTAAGCGTCCGACTTCAGCCAGGTCACGATCTCGCGGTCCGTGAGTTCGAGCCCCGCGTCGGGCTCTGGGCTGATGGCTCGGAGCCTGGAGCCTGTTTCCGATTCTGTGTCTCCCTCTCTCTCTCTGCCCCTCCCCCGTTCATGCTCTGTCTCTCTCTGTCGCAAAAATAAATAAACGTTGAAAAAAAAAAATTTAAAAAAAAATAAAATAAGTGGCTGAAACTAATCAGAAAGTTGTAATTTAGGAACTAAAATGAGTAGGAAGTATTTTGGAAGAAACAAAAAGGAATTGTTCCTAGTAACAGCCAAGACAGGATCTCAGCTATGGACAGCACACTAACTCACATGCACCTTGCCATCAGCTCCATCAACTTAAAATCAAACGATGGTATGACACTCAGCTTTAGAACAGAGATTTGTAGTTTAAATTTCCAGATTTATGGGCTAAGGGCTCAGGTGGCTCCTTGACTTACCAAAGCCTTAGAACAGTATGTTGCTGCTGCAGGGCTGACCCATTCCAACTCTGGATATGTGACCTGGCTGCCATACTAGACTCTCCTCCATGCTTGATCCCTCCTCCCCAGTTGTGCTGTGTCATGGTAACCGTTCTACTCTTTGACATCTCCATAATTCCTTGGTCTAATCTGATTCAGCAGTGTTTGGGTAGAATATTCTCCACCACAAAATCTGTTGTCGCTGACAGCGTCAACCTCTTCCCCTTTTCTATTCTACACAGTGAAGAAAAGTCCAAAAGAACTGTGGTACTTTAGGCCCCCTAATCTTCATCCTTTGAAGGGAAATAGGTTAACAGGGAGAGAATTGTTGCCAATGAAAATAAACATCAACATTTGGACTGGTATACTTAGAATTGTAATTATATATAATAGGTATGCTGATCTTAGAATTTTTAAACTCAATTGGGGCTCCTGGGTGGCTCAGCTGGTTAAACGTCTGACTCTTGACTTCGGCTCAGGTCACAATGTCACAATTTGTGGGTGTGAGCCCTGCATCAGGCTCTGCACTGACAGTGCAGAACCTGCTTGGGATTCTCTCTCTCCCTTTCTCTCTGTCCCTCCCCTGCTTGCTTGTTCTCAAACTTTAAAAAAAAAAAAAAATTTTAACTAAAAAAAAAGTGTAGGGTTATTTCACAGTTATTAGCTTGTGTCCCCAATTAGGAATCAGTAAGTGAAGCAACTATAAATTATTTGGGGTAATTCCTAGATAATTTGTTGAAAATTTAAGACATGTAAGTATAAAGATGATCAGAAGTCAGAAGAGGTCAGATTAATGAGTTTTCATTGGAAACTTTTCCTCAATGAATAAAGATTCTATGATAAAAATGATACCCTAACCTTTATTGAAAGTGAAGGGTAGCAAAACTAGTGAGCCAAAACCATCTTATGCTATAAAAATTCCACAATACATTGTCAAAGAGATAATTCTAGGCCTTGCATTTTTTCCCATCACCTACTCCTTTCTTATTTGCTCTAATAGGTAGGAAGTGGTTCTCTTTAACTTGCAACCTACAAAGTAGCCATTCCTAACTCTAAGATGACTTTGTGATACACATCTCACAGGTAACTATGCCATATAAGCACTAAGAATGTTGCCTTCCCTTGGCTAGGCCTGGGGTGTGGATCACACTAGGGAGTCTCATTTACAGGACAGGGTCACCTCCTAACTAGTATTTCTAAAGACCCAAACTGGGCAATTAGAACATCTATCTTCTTTATTCTCACATCAACTTTGACAAATACAGTTCTCTATAGATACTTTATAAGTTGAAAATTAACTATCATTTCAGTAAAAAGCCTAACTAACTGTGATTCATATCATCATATCTACATCAAGAAAGGCATTACTCAAATGCAATAGTTGTACTAGAAACTACTAACAGGTTGAACAAGTTAAATTCAGCAGGCTTTTTAGGATCTCAACCCTGTATCTATTTTCAGTTCTTATCTTCAAACTGAGTCTTTAGTGTGTGTAATATAACCTTATAACCTTATTTTACATACAATCCGAGCCAAAGAAAAGCTCAGAATGGCTACTAAAATGCATCACAGACCAAAACAAGAGTCTGATCTTAGGTCAGTCCTTATTCATTTGGTAACAAAGGCAATTCCACTTACAGAAAACATACTACCACATTTCAAAGGTTTAAAGTTTCATTAGAAAAATTATACACAGAATAAAAAATATATTTTTCAAGAATAATGGTATTATTTCATTCATCAAATTCATTTAAAACATGAGTTACAGTACAGAAAGAGAAATGACAGCATAGTTGTATACAACCAACTAATCTGCAAAACCAGTCTCTTAAAAACAACACACCATATGGTTTTAATAAAAGGCAACTACAGTTCCATTTTCTAAGGTGTCTTAAGGGTTTTCTGTAATTAGTTTTTATATTAAGCTTTCTCCATAACAATTTTAAAGATGTTATTTCCTCATCACCAATTACTTTATTCCCCAAAACACCTGATAACCAGGTCTCTCTGTTGTTGCCTCCATTTTCTTTATTCTGCTAAGGGATATGAAGCTGCTTTCAAGGTCAATCCAAGTTCAAGTCTACACCAAAGTTCTAACACCTGGAGAGTTGTCCTTCTTTGCTTAAGAAGTGTGATTAACAGCCATCTGTAGCAATGCAACTGAAATTATAATGAGCTTTTTCTCTTTTTTTTGTCTGCCTACTCAATTCTACCTTTCCCTCTGCCCACCGCTGGGCGCACCAACCTCCCCCAGCAGATTTAGATTTGGGAGGAGGTGACTTTGTTCAGAGTCTCTCAATGTCTGAGTAGCAGTCAAATCGTATGAGTTTAAGATTCTTAAGAAAAAAAAAGTTTCTTTTTATCGTTTCATCAAGAAAATGTTAAAACCCTGACAGAAGTTAGCCATCTGTCCCAAATCCATTCCATCAAAGCTCCCAAAGAGCTTTCCATTTGCTGTGACAGCAGTGGCAGGATGGCTACTATCATCTGTCTTGGCACTGGTGTGATACTACAGATGGCTCTTTTTCACTGTTCACTTAAACTACTTCTAAAAAGCAAAAGCTTTTGTAATTACTTGGAATCTATCAGAATAAACTGGTCTCTGAAAGGAAGGTATTTGTTGCATTGTTCAGTTACATGCACACGACCAAAGGCAGGATGATGTTGATCCTGGACAACAGTGTGTGTGACACACAACAGTGTGTGTGACAACTGTACGGGAGATTGGCTAAGGTGTTCCTGCAGCTTAGAGAAACTATAGCAGAGTGCCAGGTGGAAGTGAGTACTACACTAAGTCTCCCAATGAGAACTCAAACTACAGTAAAGAAGGTGGAGGGGTATTAATAGACCAGTGTCTTAACAAAGTTACCGAGGTGGAAAGCCACCTCTGTGTGCTCCTCCGCGGCCCCCGCGAAAGCCACCTCTTTCTCCTCGGAAGTTAGATCGGTTTCTTTCTCGACCACGGCCAGCAGAAGTTCCACCCCTTCCTCCACCCCTGGGAGCTCCACCTCCCCGATCAGATTTAGACTTGGGAGGAGGTGATTTTGGTCGAAGTCTCTCAATTTCTTCTGTACATCCAGTCAAGTAGGAATTAGGAGCACTAAAGTAGGATGCATATGTTTCTGCATTATAGTTGCTATTTGTAAGAGTCGGTCCAACTGTAAGCCAGCCTGAAATAGGGGGAAAGAAAGATTATCTTTTTTGTTTCCAGTTCTTTCTTACTGGTCCCTTAGGAGCTATTTCAAATCTCTAATGCATTTTTAAAGATGCCCCTATCACCTCATATTCATCTTTTTTATAGAAAACATGGTATTTAATAATGGTCATACAGACTTCATAGGTATATATCTTTTATTTCACCTGCATGACTATAACTTATCTTCCTCATCTCCATCCTTGTTTCACATTCTGTGAGAGTAGCACTTAGAAAAAAATTACACACTACACTGAGTTTGGGCTCAGTGAAAATGTAATAAACTTTATTCACCTTCCTAATTGGGGAAATGATACCATTGTTTTCTGGTTAAAATCCTGGAGCCAACTTTTGCCTCTACTCTCAACAATATTACCCCAGATGATAGGTGCTAGAAATTCAACCACTAACCTCCATGTTGCTCCTATTCATTCCCATGTTTCCATCTCTACCTCCACCCTCAAACATAAGTCTTTTTCTTTTTTTCAAAATAGTAAATTTACATTACACTGATTTCACAAAAAGTTAAAATTTTGGGGGCGCCTGGGTGGCTCAGTTGGCTAGGTGACCAACTTCGGCTCAGGTCATGATCTCGCAGTCTGTGAGATCGAGCCCCGCGTCGGGCTCTGTGCTGACAGCTCAGAGCCTGGAGCCTGCTTCGGATTCTATGTCTCCCCCTCTCTCTACCCCTCCCCTGCTCATGCTCTGTGTTTCTCTGTCTCTCAATAATAAATAAATATTTAAAAAACACTATTAAAAGTTAAAATTTTGAAAAGACACCACCACTATACATGTAAGCAAACAAGCCAGGTATTTTAGTTACTAATAAAACAAAGGTCTGTATTTCACAGACCTTTAAATATATGGTTATTAAATATATGGTTATTTTCTTCAGGATGATTCATTCATTTATACATTTCTTCATCATATTATTTACTGAATAATCTGAATGTTGGGTATAAAGAAGTGAGGAAGACAATCTTTGCCTTCTATGAGACTGCATGTTGGAGAAACTGATTATAAACATAAGCCCAAATGAATGTGTAATTCATCTAATGGTAAGTGCTATGAAGAAAAAGAAAACAGAGTAAGGGGAAAGACAGGAGTGGAAGGAGGGGAATGGAGCAGGAAGGTGGCCAGTTTAGACAGAGGTGTGAGAAAAGGTCTGTCAGGTATTTGAAAGGAGAGGACCATGAAGAGACAGGAACGAACTCAGCATATGTGAAGTACAGCAAGAGGAATCAAATACATCGTAAGAATTTTATATTACAGAGCACTCTGTACCATTTCTTGACACCTATATCCCAAGGGACCAAAAAGATTTTTTTGAGTTTTTCTGAGGTCCTACCTGGTCGAATTGTACTATCTCTTCCAAATAGATGAAGGCGTCTTCTACCAAGACAAAAATGTTCAATAATATGAAAAATTTCTACAGGCTTTTCTATATTGCCAATTTCAGGTTCTTCTGTGATAATCAAGTCAATGTCAACATTAGCATGGATGAAGTCCCCATCTGTGCTACGCTTAACAGTTCCTTTGATCCCCATAAGGCAGTGTTCCTAAAAAACAATAAGAGCAAGCCAATCAATCTCTTCATCAAGAGTCATATTTCATAACATTTTACATTTCTGATGTCCCCAATTCTAAAATAGACTTCATTTCTTCAAATCTTTGGGATATAGTTCTATGGGCAAAAACACTATAGGAAAGCCTGTATCTCTGGATGTGGGAAGATTGCCAGGGAAGCTAGAGACAACGGTGTTAAACTTGGGGCCATCACATTTTAGAATTGCATCAATGACCATGGAGTCTTTCTTTCTGCAATACTAGATAATAACTTGTTTCTACCAGTTATGGAAACATGGCACTTGACCTTGGAATCTTAAAAGGATGTTATACTGGGCCTCAAATAATCCAAGATCAAAACTATATACAAGATGCCTTTTTATATGGAGAAGAGCCTTTTAACATGGATATAGACTTCTGATTTTCACATTTTCTTATGTTGAGTAATTAAACAGTTTTTTTTTTTTTTTTTCCATTTGTTTTTTGACCTTCTCTATTTAATCTGACTGGCAGGAGTATGGGTTAAATTAATCTCTCACTTGACTCCATGAACCATGGCAAGAGTAGCTTAGGCTCCCTTGAAAGAATTTTCAAAAGAATTTTGAATTTTCCAGTTTAAGAAAGACTTAATATGAAAGACTCCCACAAATGGCTCCCTAAAGAGTGAAAGACTGGGGGACAAACTTTTAAAGCCTGATAGTAACAGGGAAGTTGTATAGAGCAGAGGTTCTCAAGGGTTCTTGTGTAGGTTCTCAGGGTTCTTATGTAGGAAAAAGGGAAGGAGAAAAATATGCTTCCAAGGCAGCCAGCTATGAGTCTTGCTACTGCCTCTTTTTTGTGGGCTCAGGGAAAGGGAAAAAGTCTGGTGGGGCTCAGAGGTACCAAAAGCCCATACATAAAGTGATTTAGAATTAACAGCAGTTTAGGACATACAAAAATATATACTACCCTCTCCCGCACAGTGAAGGTTGAACTTAACATAGTGAATAAAACACAGTAAACAAAACATAGTGAATTTAAAAATTAAACTTGATGTAATTCTATACTGTTCAATGCCATTTGTGCAAATCTAAGAAAATAATCTTTCTACCAAAATTAAACAGTATACAGTCATTTGGAAAAGCTTGAGGAAAAATAATGAAAATAAAGAAAACAAAACAGTAAAGGCAATACCTTTGTTCTCTGGAAGACAGCCTTTGGATCTAAAGTCTTAGTCTTTCCAGGATTGTTTTTATTGGTTTTAATCCAACAAATATCTTCACATCTTCTGTAACCCCATTTGCGTAAACACTAGAAATGAAAGAATTAAAAAAAGAAATCCTTAACTAAAAGAAATAAACAGTACTTAAAATAATCAACCAGTATTAAAAAAACTTCCTAGAGGTTTGAGACACTAAATCCAAGATGTTACAGTAATTTTTAGTGCAGAAATAGAAAAAAGGAAATACTAACGTCTTTAAATATATGGCCATTATATAGAAAGCATAAATACCTTTCAGATATTAATATAATCTATATAGTTAAGTATCAAAACATAGAAAGGATTACATAGTACTCCAATCCTTTAATACTACCTTCCATTGTCATCAACAGAAAGTGGGTTTTAAATCATAAAACACTCAGTCCCTCTTTAATCATAAAATAATTCAACATGATTTGATTCCTAGCACCTCAATTTCCTATCCTGACAAAGCTAAAAACTATTGAACATATTCTAATTGATAGCTTGTTTTCAAATGAGTCTTATGTTATTTTTATATACTTAATACAACTTCAAAAAACTCAAATACTTAAAATTACGTACCTTATTACTTGCTAATACTGAGGGCTACTACAATATATAGGTGCTGACTAGCTGGTGGGAATAAAAACAAGATATGTCCTTACCCCCTCATTGATTTAAGAGTAAAGTAGGGGGAAATAAGCAAATAGTGCAGGACGATAATGTTGGTATTGTTCATGTCAGGAATGCTCTTACTGTGTAAACTCTTATCATGAGAAACACCTCAAAATGAAAACCTGGATTTTTATTTTAAAATCTAAAAATCAAGATCAGTATCTGTTCCTGTGACATTTATCTGTTTTGCACTGGAAATTCCTTATACACCACAAGGGTCTATATCTTCGTGCCCTGATCAATTAACAAAAGCTCATCAGGATTTCTTATGCTGAATTATTTTTGTAATCGTTTTTGGCCCAAATCTGCTTTTACCAATATGACTGCTGCATAAATAAAACGATAAAACCTCCTAATCATTTTCAAACTAATTTGGGAGGCAGAAGGCAAGCCCCAAGCCAGGCATTAGAGCTACAAAGGGTAAATACCAACATATCTGTAAAAACATATAGTATGTTTCTATTTTCTTAGCTTTTCCAGAACATCTTGGAAAGGTGTCAGCAAAAAGTAACTATTCCCAATCAGAATAGTTATAGTCTTACCTTGGGAGTTAATAAACGACACAAGCAATAATATTTTTCAATAGTCTCAAACTTGCTATTTTATAAATACAAAGTAACTGTAAAATTTCAGGATTTTAGAACAAATTTATCTCAATATAATCCTACTTAAATTCTTCACTTGTCAAATGGACACTTCCTAAAACTGCCAAGATTAAATGAGATCGTCTGCTGTATAACAAGTAATATGTCCTAAAAATGGAAGGTATCATCTATTAACAAGTGAGGAAACTGAAACCCACAAGTGTAAATATCTCTTTACCCAAAGTTTTACTGCTGGACAGCAGAACTGAGACCAAAACTGAATGAAGCCTTCTAATACTTAGCCACAATGCTCCCATTATTCTTAGGTAAAAAAGCATACGCTATTTTGTTTCCATTCAGAAATTCAAAACATTGCAATAAAAAAAAGAGTTCTGAAATAAAGTAAACATAAAGCGCTTAAAAAAGAGGTCCTTTTCCTCGTCACTCTTACTCAATTATTCAAACTATGTGTTCTGGATGCTCTGTTATTTTTCCAATTTGATTTGGCTTCTATTTGGAATTCAGGAGTTAATGTTATTCAGAATACTTTTTAGCTATTCATAATGAGCAGTAAATGACACTAAGCAGCTTGTTTTTGAGTTGCAGTATCAAATGCCTAAACTGTTCTCCTGAAGTTGTAATAAATCATATTTTGACTTCTTGAACCCTAATGCTAGCTAACCAAAGGGTACTACTGCCTTTTGTGCATTCTTTTCTAATCACATTTTTTTCCTTCTGAGTATTTTAGCAACTATTCAAGAAACAAAGGACAAAATAACATCTATCTTCCAACTTTTTATATTTTTTCTTATGACTAAAAATCCACTTTAAAAAAATGATCTTACCACTCTTCCAAGGTCCAATCCCTCCCCAGAACCACACCAGAGAAAAATAAATGATCGTGGAGCTGCAATCTCATCAATTTCTAACTTCATAATCTGTAGGAAACCAAAACAATATTGCATGAAAGTATTTTGTTTCCCAGTCATTCTAAATCCAAAAGAATAACCCCTGAGATTTATCAAGACTTTCAGTAGATCTATTTTTAGATGTACTAATTTTCATTAGAAAATAAATTTTATCCTTAGAACTTATTCTACTGTTTTCTTATTCTATATTAAGAAAACACACACACATACACACACATATACATACACTTGACTTTATACAGAAAGAGGTTACAGGGAACCACATTTATAGAATTATGGACTTTTGTAAGATGTAATTTGAGTGCAATACTTTATGATTTACAGAAAAATAAACCAAAAAAAAGAGGTTAGCTTAAATTATCCCAAAGTTAGGGGCAAAATTAAAATGAAATATAGTAAATGTTTGGGGAATATTTAGTTTCCAGCATCTACAGAAATTCTAGATAAAAATAAATCAATATGCACATTTTATTATAATGACCATTTTAGTTCTAAAATGTCAAAAAAAAAATATAGCCCAATTTTTCCAAAGAAGATCTACAGATCACTAACAGACACATGAAAAGATGCTCAACATCACTCATCATCAGGGAAATACAAATCAAAACTACAATGAGATATCACATCACACGTGTCAGAATGGCTAAAATTAACAACACAGGAAACAACAGGTGTTGGCGAGAAGGCAGAGAAAGGGGAACCCTCCTACACTGTTGGTGGGAATGTAAACTGGTGCAGCCACTCTGGAAAACAGTATGGAGGTTCCTCAAAAATGTTAAAAATAGAACTACCCTAGGATCCAGCAATTACACTACTATGTATTTACCTAAAAGATACAAAAATACTGATTTAAAGGGATACATGCACCCCAATGTTTATAGCAGCATTATTGACAACAAGCAAACTATGAAAAGAGCCCAAATGTCCATAAACTGATGAATGGATAAAGAAGATGGGATATATATTCAGAATGGAATATTACCCAGCAATCAAAAAGAATGAAATTTTGCCATTTGCAATGATGTGGATGGAGCTAGAGTGTATTATGCTAAGTGAAATAGTGAAAGACAAATACCATATGATTTCACTCGTGTGGAATTTAACAAGCAAAACAGATGAACATAGGGGGAAAAAGGAGAGAAGCAAACCATAAAACAGACTCAACTACAGAGAACAAACTGAGGGTTGCTGGAGGAGGGGTGGGTGGTGGGATGGGCTAAATGGGAAATGGGCAGTAAGGAGGGCACTAGTGACACTCACTGGGTGTTGTGTATGAGTGATGAATCACTAAATTCTACTCCTGAAACTAATATTACACTGTATGTTAACTAATGGGAATTTAAATAAAAAACTAAGAAAAAAATTACAGTCTATAATTTTATTTGCCTTGTATGTGCTGAGTATTCACATTAAAAAAAAAGTTCCGCGGGGCGCCTGGGTGGCGCAGTCGGTTAAGTGTCCGACTTCAGCCAGGTCACGATCTCGCGGTCCGTGAGTTCGAGCCCCGTGTCGGGCTCTGGGCTGATGGCTCAGAGCCTGGAGCCTGTTTCCGATTCTGTGTCTCCCTCTCTCTCTGCCCCTCCCCCGTTCATGCTCTGTATCTCTCTGTCCCAAAAATAAATAAACGTTGAAAAAAAAATTTTTTTAAAAATTTTAAAAAAAGTTCAATAATTCTGTAAATTTTGGGATAATACATACTCATATAAAAGACTCAATCATTTTATGACATTCTTTTTCTTCTAGCTTTCTGCCACATTTCAGAGACAGACCATGGTTCAAGCAGATATTTCTATTTCATTTATTCAAAAAATTTTAACTTTAGTAACATCCATTTGAGTTATAACCATATCATCTCTAACTTAATCTAAATAGAAAAACATTATTCGGCAATAATAATGTAAATAAGTTACAATATGTATTAACCTACTGAGTTTTATACTTCTTTTAAAATCTTGAAATCTCTCATCTAATATTCTCATAGGAATATGAATAAGTAAATATGTAATACACACATACACATATTCCTACATATTTCTACATGAAAGAGCTAAAATAAGTGATGACACACAACAGTGAAGAGCATCAAGCAAATTACTCTCTCAACACTGCAGTTCTAAATGCTAAGTGCTGGTATTTTAAAAAGCTGGTATTTTAATATCCTTTACCAAAATCCATTGATCACTACTGACTCTCTGATGTGAAAGAGAATACCTTGTGAAATCCAAACACTTTTCTTATTCATACTCTTTATATTCTATTTATTATTTTAACTATTGGTACTTTCTATAGGATATTATCATATAAAAATTAAGAACTTAGGGCCTAGGGCCAGACAATACTTTTCAATATGCTAGCCCGAGTTGTTCAGTGAAATTAGACTGAAATCAAGAATATGCATATAAAATGGAATTCCTTTATTTCAGAAATCCTATTGGTCTGTTCTGTCACATATAAGTGAAGCTCCTGTGCCTTCAGTGACCAAACCTCAGAGACTGGCCAGAGAAAAAAGTTCAACCTAATTACAGCTGACCCCTGAATAACATAAGGGCTGGTCGCACCAACCCCTACCGCCCATAGAAAATGCAAGGGTAACTTCTGACTCCCCAAAACTTAACGACTAATAACCTACTGTTGACTGGAAGCCTTACTGATGACATAAAGAGTCAATTAACACATATTTTGTATGTTATATGTATTGTATACTCTATACTTAAAGTAAGCTAGAAAAAATAAAATGTAACTTAGAAAATCATAAGGAAAATACATTTACACCACCGTAAATAATCCACACAAAAATGGAATCATGCAGTTCAAACCCACTTTGTTCAAGGATCAACTATACTAATCAAAGACATAAAGATTTATTTTTTTCAATTTTTTTTTTCTGACTAAACTCACAAAGATTGTTTTTATGTATTAATCAATTTTGATGAGGAAATGGTTAAATAGGTATTTCTTAAACACTGCTGGAAGGAATGTAAATTTGTGCAACCTATCTGGAAAACTTCTCAGCAATAAGCATCAAGAGCAGTATGTCTTTTACCTTAAGTCTTGGGAATATAATATACTGTATAACTTTCTGAATTTCAACAATAAGCACAAATTACATTCATCATCAGAGGATGAGATTTTTTCAAAGTGGTAAGAGCCATAAAAATACAAATAAAAATGTCAGTGGGATCAAAGAAAGATAAAAGGAAAAGCTTCCAGGAGGAAAAACTGGAGGTGTACCTTGAAGATTAAATAATATTAATAATAGTAACTGTCATTAACTCAGAAGAGGACATGCAAGGATTCAGCATGGTTTCCTATGAAACAGCAGCTTTACAGTGTCAGTCCTTTCCTTTCCCTACTTCCCTTCTGTGCTTAACACTCTTGCCTACTCTCTCCTTGAAATTCCCTATTCCCTTGGCCCCTAGGACATTCATTTTCTTGGTTCTCCTTATTCATTTCTGACCCATTCTTTTGATCTTCTTTTACATGTGCCTCTTAAATGTAACAGTTTCCTGAGGCTTTACTGTTAATCCACATTTTATCTTAATTGAGACACTATCTCTGGACAAATTCATCCATTCTCATAGGTTTTATGTGCTAATCTTCTAAATCTGTATATTTTGAGACCAGATCTGTCTGTCCTTTGAATTACATATTCCTATCATGACTCCACACGGATGTCTCACATACACGTCAAAATCAACATATTCAATATGATCTAATCCCTTTAATCCAGCTTTTATAAGTGTTATTTATTTTGAGAGAGAAAGAGAGAGAGAGAGAGAGAGAGAGAGAACATAAGCAGGGAGGGGCAGAGAGAGAGAATCCCAAGCAGGCTCCACAATGTCAGCACAGAGCCCCATGCGGACTTGAACTCACAAACTGAGACCTGAGCTCAAGTCCAGAGTCGCTCAAGTCCAGAGTCGGACGCTTAACAGACTGAGCCACAAGGTGCCCCTCTAATCCAACTCTTAAATCCACTCTTTCTCAGCTGGTGAAAACTCAACTCACTTATCCCAAGACTCAAACCTCTGCATCATCCTTAACTCTCCCCCTCAGTCCAATCACTAGATCTCACCCAAGTATCTACAAAAGATTACTAAATTTATCACCTTTCTATTCTTACTACCATCACTCTAATTCAAGGTCCCTTCATCTCCTAACTGGGCTACTGCAACAGTCTTTTAACTGCTCTCTCTTTTCCAGACTTTTCCTCTAGTCCATTCTCCACACACTAATATGACACTTTAAGCTGTTTAAAGCCCTTCAAAGACAACTTAATGTCTTCAGGAAAAAAGTCTAAGCTTCTAAGAAGACATCATCTCAAGAAGAGTTCCAACTTGTGTTCTAACAACATCTACCTACAAACCAGATATTCTTTCCCACCATCCCTTCTGCTCTTGTTGTTCCTTTCAGTTGGAATCACTAGCCCATCCCTTTCTTCATCTGGCCAATTCCAACTAGTCTATTTATATTGTTAACATGTCACTTCCTCTTTGTTCATGTGACCCATCCTCCAAGGCTTGGTCAGTTTGTCTCAGATCATCTTATGTAATCCTCTGTTATCGAACAAAATAATAATGCAATTATCTGTTTAGATCAATATTTATCCCATTTAACTATGTGCTCCTTTAGTCCAAGTACCAAGTCTTATTCATCTTCGAATCTCCAATACCTACCACATTGCCTAGTACAGAGTGGTACTCAACCAATATTTGTTATTTTGTTACTGATCAGTAAAAACAGATGACTTTACGTAACTAACTGCAGTTATCAGCTTGCTTAATTTTATTTAGGAAAATGTAGCTTTATCACAATTATACTGAAATTACGTATCTTTTTTATCCATTGTAAGTTGCTTGAAAAGTAGAAATCGTTTTATATCTATCTATCTCTGTATTATACTCTAATGTTTACTAAAACTAGGCAAATGCAGAAAGAGTTATCAATCATTTAGTTTTTAGACTTTTCTAGCTAGGACTCTAAGACTGGAATTGTGAGTCTTCTACAGACTACTAACTCACTGCCTGCTCAACTTCAGCCCCAAAAAGAAGAATCAGACCAAAGATATTATAGTATTTGTTAATGTACCCTGGATCTTCTGTCACATTATACGCTATAAATCTGCAATTATGATTCCTAAAAATGTAAGAATATTTATAATCTTCTCACCAAATAATATATATTCATTTGAAAAATAAATAATTAATTACAATGTAGAAAGTTTCATCATACATCATCCCAAGTCCAGCATTTTTCATTAGCAGTGATGCCAGTTTCTCTGTAATATTCTTCTAAAGGGGGTTCCAGAAGAATCACATCAAATTTAGGTGTCAGTTCTCTGATGTCAAAGGCTTCTATATCTGCTTGTAAGTACCTATTTGATTAAGGCATAAAAAGTGACTAAGAGTTTTTCAAATACCTTACAGATAATAAAGAAAGGAATTTCGTAAATATTACTAAACACTATTTACAAAGTAATCATAAACTAGTTACTGAATACCTTTTTATGCAGGACTATCTTTCTTCAGTATAGATAGTAAACCATCTACCAACACTCTTCCCTAGAAGATGGATATAATCACACTACAAGCCAATAGCATATTCCCCCATGTATATCCAGAATGTACTTCTCTCATTTTTACAGTGAAAACTCATACTACTATGTAAGTCTCTGAGCCCCATTCCATCATCATCTGAATTCTCTAAGGAATATCACATTATTTCTTTCTTAAGTAAGAAAAACTATTTGTAAGCTTTAAAATTTAGAAACACTATTTCTAAAGATGGATGTAATTTTCTTTTATTGTTTATTAGTAAAATTATTTCTCTATTAATGGTCTTTTATGGCTAACTAGTATGTTATAACTAGTCATTACTGAAAAGTTATTTCCACATAGTATGAAAGTAATTTAAATATAAACTACTTTAAATGTAAGACTATGTTTAAATTAGATGAATATTAGAGTCTGCTAATATTTTTCTTCACACACAGACTTCTTTGCGGCTCTTCATCACTAACAGTACACATTTTAGCAAACTGTTCGAAGTAAGCTAAATGTGAAATAGGCAGATTCTCCAATTTTAAAGACTTTTTATACATTTCTGAGAAAAACGTTCTGGTTAGCAAAGGTTAACATGAATTTTCATATTCCAAAATGCTATGAATAGTATCCCTGAATGCTGAGTTATAATTAATTTTTATTCTTTTCCTTCATCTAAGTTTTCTAAACTTACTTCAATAAATAAATTACTTTTTGAGAGAAAAAATCACTTGAAAACATTTTAGGAAACTCAAGAATACAACAAACACGAATGATTTTTCTAAGAAGAAAACATTTAAAGACATTTTCAGGAAATTAACTGAAAAAAAAAAAAAAGAAATGAGAACCTACTGGTGTACTCAGCACTGGAGTTTCAAACACATCTATTTTACCAAACTGAAAACCACAGTGTGTTAACCCTATATAGGTGCTGAACTTTTTTCAAATAGAAAGGTTACAGGATAAAAAGACTGCTATTTTAAGGCTGAGTTGGGAATAAAAAACAATTGAGAAAACACACTTACATAGGAGGAGTGTTAGATTTAGCTATTAACTCATCCTTGAGCCTGATGAGCTCCCTCAGTTTAGGGTATTCTTCAAATCTGTCAGCCAAACCTGAGGAGAAAAAGTAGTAAATTCTAAATTTTAATACTCTTTAAGTTAGTATCAGTGAATTCAAAGGGTTACGGGCCCTCTCAAGAAACAAAACAATAGACAACGACCACTTTAGTCTCCTGTCCTTTTAAAAAAAATTAATTTTAAGTATTTTCTTGCACTGATTTTTTAAAAATGTTTGTTGATTTTTTGAGAGAGGGAGCACAAGTGGGGGAGGGGGAGGGGCAGAAAGACAGAGAGGGTCAGAGGATCCGAAGCAGATCCTGCGCTGACAGCAGCTAATTGATGTGGGCTCAAACTCATGAACAGTGAGATCATGATCTGAGCCAACCAGGCACCCCTATTTTGAGTATTTTTAAAACAGTTCATATCTAATGTCCCTAATCCCATATGCAGGCAAAGGTCCAGATGTTCTAAAGCCCAGTTCAAATCAATACACCATTTAATTTCTCATATTTAAGTTAAATCTGCTCATACATAGCATTAAGTTTCACCATTCTGTTCTAAGGAAAAGAAAAAACACTGCCTTCTATCAAGCTTTTCCCCCTTTTTTTTAGCTAGAAGAATTCTTTTCCCTTAAAAATCTAGTGATTATTGAGGTTGGTAGTTAGCTTCTTAAATAGTTATTAAAAGCACAGACAATATTTCTTTTCTTTTTTGTGATTACATACAAGGAGAAACAAAGAATAGTTACAGGTAAGAGAAACCCTGTTGATGATCTTAAATTAGTTGGCTATGGCTCATGGACACAATCCTGGAACAAATCTAGTAAAGAAGATAATGAGTCCCTAGTAGTCGATCAGCTCTCACTTCCAAGACAAATTGTTTTCTCTATGAATATTTATAACTGTAAAGATTTCACATCTCCATATTATAAACCAAATCTTCACATGTATTTTCAGGCTTAAGATCTTAAAAAAAAACATGTATAAGTACGGCAAAGAGTACTTAAAAACAGGAGAGTCTCTGTTCCCATGTCCTCAAAAATATTTTAGATCTTTGAGCTCAGAAAAGATTTTAGGTAAAACAGCATATTGCCTGTTTAAAAAACTGTAGGGATAAGTGCACTCGAATATCAAGGATTCCTAAAAGCTCTTATTTGGTTTTCTTTTCCCCCCCCAATATGAAACATATTCCTAACAGTATAAATCATATAAGCAACTTAATTTAAAAACCAAAAGTACAGATATTAATAACTTTAACATCAAAGAGTAAAAATGAAAGATTTTGTAAAGCCTCCTCAATCAGTGGTTATAAAACAAATTTCAAATAAAGCAAGTTTGAAGATGTTATTATAGTCAGGTTTTAATCACAGTAGAGTCAGGTGTCTTTAAAAAACAGCTTTCCTAAAGTATAATTGATATATAAAAACCAAACATATTTAATGTACACAATGTGATGAATTTAGATATATGCATTCACCTATGAATTATCACGTTCATAGGTGTGACAGACCTATCCATCATCTCTAAAGTTTTCTTGTATTCCTCTTGGTGTGTGTATGCATGTGTGTGTGTGTGAGGGTGTGCATGTGTGTGCGCGTGTAGTAAGAATACTTAAGATGAGATCTACCCTTAACAAATTTTAAAAATTTTATTGACTAGAGTCAATAACATTGTTGACTATAAGCACTATGCTATACAGCAAGTCTCTAGAACTAATTCGTCTTGTATAACCGAAACTTTACACAAATTAACAACTCCCTATTTTCCCCTTCCTCCAGTCTCTGAAAACCACTGTTCTATTTTCTGCTTCTAGAAATCTGACTATGTAGGTATCTCATGAAAGTGTAGGTATTTATCATATTACATATACTATTTTAGGTACCTCTGTAAGTACTTGCATATTTGTTCTGTGGCTTATTTCACTTAGCATTATCATGACTTTTTATGCTGCATCTAAATTTTACTCATGAAAACACTAAAATCAGTTTCTACTTCAAAAGTAACACTGCCTATAAGCAACAAAAATCAGATTATATCAAAATTAAAATTTTTTTTGTGCTGCAAATCATACCATCAGGTAAATGAAAAGACACTACACAGAATGGGAGAAAATATTTCCAAACCATAGGTCTGAGAAAAGAGTTATACTGAGAATATATGAGGAACTCTTATAATGTAATAAATAAAAAGACAAATAACCAATTAAAAAATAAGCAAAGGGGGGCACCTGGGTGCTCAGTCGGTTGGGCGGCCGACTACAGCTCAGGTCATGATCTCGCGGTCTGTGAGTTCGAGCCCCGCGTCGAGCTCTGCGCTGAGAGCTCAGAGCCTGGAGCCTGGTTCGGATTCTGTGTCTCCCTCTCTCTCTGCCCCTTCCCTGCTTGCTTTCTGTCTCTCTCAAAAATAATAAACATTAAAAAAAAAAAATAAGCAAAGGGTTTGGATATTTCTCCAAAGTAGGTATTTAAATAGCCAACAAGCATGTAACAAGATGCCTAATATCATTAGTCGCTAGGAAAATGCAAGTCAAAATCACAATGAAATGTCATTTCATACTCACTAGAATGGCTATAATCAAAAAGATATATAATAGTAAATGTCAAGCACAGGAAGAAACTGGCAAGAATATAAACTGTTTTGAAAAACAGTTGTGTAGTTTCTCCAGAAGTTAAACACAGAATTAACACATGACCCAAGAATTCCATTCCTAGGTATATACCTAGGAGAAACGAAAGCGTATGTTCACACAAGAACTTCACATGAATACTCATGCAGCACTGTTTATAACAGCCAAAAAGTACAAACAATCCAAATTAATGAATAAAATGTGGTATATACATACAATGGAATATTATCTGGCAGTAAAAATAAATGAAGTACGGACACATGTCACAACATCAGTGATCCCAGAAACAAGGTGACAAGTGAAAGAAGCCAGTCCCAAGATACCACATATTGTCTAATTCCATTTATATGAAATGTTTAGAATAGGCAAATTGATAGAGACAGAAAGTTAATTAATGGTCACTTAAGGCTGGGGGGAGTAGTAGGGGAGGGAATGGGAACCGACTGCTAATGAGTACTGAGTTTCTTTAGGAGAGATGAAAATTAGATTGTGGTAATGATTGCACAAACTCGATTTACTAAAAAAAAAAAAAAAAAAATTGAATTATATCCTTTAAATGGGTGAGTTCTATGAATTCTCTCAATAAAGCTGTTTTTGTAAATGCAGGGATAATGCATTTGACGGGCTTATTAGTAGACTGAACAGGGGCTGAGGGAAGAATCTCTGGGCTTGAGGATATCTTAACAGCCACCTCAAAAACTGAAA